TCGCATGGCAAATATCCTTGGGCAAGATACTAACCCCAAATTGCTCTCCGATGCGTCCATCGGAGTATGAGTGTGTGAATGTTAGCTATAAAGCACTTAGAAAAATGTGCGAATGGGTGAATGCACAAGTTGTGTAGAAAGGCGCTATATAAGAACCAGTCCATTTACAATACGAGGTTAGTCATTGATATACTGCAACAACATGGGAATAGAGCCGCTGTGAGAGGATTCAGCATTAATGAATCAATGGTACAGAAGTGGAGGAAGCAAGAAGAATGAGTTGAAGAATAAGTTTTTATCCGATTTCGTTTCGCTTAATGCGCCTGATAATCTGGCGTGCCTTATGTATGAAAACAGACCCGTTCATCAACAGTGCGCCTTATGGTCCGAAAAACACGATATGTTGGACGACACTGTGTGGAGCTGTTAAAGGCCTGGCTCAACATGCAGTACTGTATGTACTGTTTAAGGAGCTGTAGCAGCACCCCGGGCAAACTTGCCAGGACGTTGCTGACATCACACATGTCTGACCCCTGAGATCATCATTATCAGTGTGAGAACAACACAGGGAGGAAGCACCCTGAGACGTGACATCTGGTTTGGGAGGACAAATGTGTCATTCTTCCATGTTCCAGATGTGCCGGCTCTCCAAAGAGCCTCCATTTACTCCCAAACTACAACCCAGATAACCTCCTCAGCAGCAAACACTGGAGCTGAGCCAGGAGACTGCATCGTGTGGTTTTCAACCCAGGCATCATATTAAATGTAAAGGACTCATAAACACTGGTGAAGCACAAAGCAGCAGGATGTTACTCGCTCTGACGCGGTGGGACTGGTGATGGATAGATGGAGATGCTTGAAAAAGAGCTGGTGGGGGCCGACTACACACTTACTATTAGATCTTCACACTGAGCGAAACCCAGCAGCAGAGGCTGAGAGCAGCGTTTAGTTTCATGCTTTCACTCTGAAACTCTGTTAATACAACTTCATAATGTTTAAATGAGGAGATATTACAGTTTTTTCTGATTGCTTAAGCACATTTTTTGTAACTATTGGCAATTTTTGCAAAATTCTACACACAAATAAGAAAACCTGTCACCCAATTATCAAAACATTGTAGTTCTCTTGCAAAAGCGAACACAGCTAGATTAACTCTTCACACCTTCGTAAAAATGGTGTTTTCGTATCAAACAGTACACACAAGCCATCATCT